CTATATGATGTTGGCCAAAAATGTATACAGTTAGCTCAACAAAAACAAAGCTATACTGCTGAGTTAGACTCTTTTGTTTCTCGCTTCCAGCGAATCGAAGATGATTATGAGGCTTTTGAGCAAATATCTGACGAAATAAATGTTGTAAACACTCAGGTAGAAGAGGGTGAAAAAATTGATGTTAATAAAGCTTCATTGGCATATGATGAGATTTATTTCAATGTGAAGACAATTGCTCGTAAGATGAATGTAGGGAATTTAAATACACAAAGTAAACCGGAAACTACTCAATCATCTGTCCCAACACAATCTTCTCAAGTAGCAAGACTACCAAAACTGGAAATTGAACCATTTGATGGATCAATTACAGCTTGGCCAAACTTTTATGCCCTCTACACCTCTATGATCCATAAGAACACTTGCCTAACCAAGGTAGAAAAACTTACATATTTACGTAGTTTACTAAAATCTCACGCACTCTCTCTCATTGACACTCTGGCCATATCAGATGACAATTATGACATTGCAATGCAAATTCTAATTGAACGATACCAGAATAAAAGATTATTAGCTTCTTGTTATCTTGACAAAATATTATCTTTTCGCCAAATGACAGAGGATTCAACTAACTCTTTCTCAAACTTCATGGAAGTATTCAATAGTAATTTGTCAGCTGTGAAGGTTCTTGGCATTGACGATTTATTTGATTTCACTATGCTCCACATTGGTTTACGCTCTTTGACACCAAACACTCGTAAGGATTTTGAAAGTCATCATTCAAGTAATGACATCCCAAAGTTTGAAGACCTAATCAAATTTGTCCAACAACAGCTCAAAATTCTAGAAATCACTAATGATCCCAAGGGAAAATCAAAACCTCACAAACCTACCCAGTTCTCTAAGCCATCAAGCTCTCGCAGTGCAATGCTCTCTACTGTGAATACAATTCACTACGATAAAGGGAAGAATGCTTCATTAACGTGCCCGTGCTGTCAGGACATCTCTCACAAGATTTATGGTTGTTCAAAATTTAAAGGCATGAGTGTAGCGCAACGATATGATCAAGCTAAAAAGAGTGCCTTATGTTTTTCTTGCCTCGGATCTCACATGATATCTGATTGTAAATCTAAGTCTAAGTGTTTCAAATGCTCTGGTAAACACCACACTCTCCTACATCGTTCAGATAACAGTCAAGTGACAGAGTCTAAGCCTAATGCTGGAAATAATGTAGAACCTAAGACTTGCCACTACACTAATACTTGTTCAAGTACAAACATGTTACTGAGTACTGCTATTATTGGCATCCGTGATAATGATGGTGAACTAATACAGGTAAGGGCCATCATCGATGGAGGGTCACAAACTAGTTTAATTACTACAGAATTAGTCCAGTGCAATTAGGTTATGTCCCGGACAAAATTGATAACAGGCTGAAAATTGGTGGAAATGTTCAAAACTATGTCCTGAGTGGCCCACACAAAGTCCCAAGAAATCCCAGTTGGGGAACGGCCGCCATCTTGAAAAAACTGCTGCCATCTTGGAAATTTAGATTTTTTACTGTATCTTTTTAATTAATTGTCCGAAATGCCTTATTTATGTCTCAAATTAAATGTTTTGGACTCATGGATAAGGGTAATATACAATTAAAGAGTTTAATACGTTCTTAGCATACATTTTATTTATATTAACAAAAAAATCTATAGTAATAACATAAATAATTTACAAAATATTTACAAAACTAAACTTTTTCTCTTTTTAGCGAATTTCCCATGTAGGGAATAAGCTATTGCCGTAGTACTCATGGTAAGACCTGGACCCGGGACCGATTTCATTTTACGTTTTGACGTCCCTAGAGGCCAAAAGCACCATCCGTTCAAATTCATATATATTTATACAGGGTGAGTTTTAAATTATTCCCCCCCCCACTTTTTTCTACATTTTTTAAGATATCAACTACAGACCACATCAGATCATTATAGAGTCGTAAGTACTTGACTGGGTATACATTTTTGGCCGCCATCTTGGATCCGCCATCTTGGATCCGCCATATTGGATACAAAGTTTTTTTTCAAATGTAAAGGTAGGGTTGTGACCCATAATTTCTAACTAGAATTTTACGATGATTACAATGCTGCAATAAGTTTTTAAAAATCTTTGTATCCAATATGGTGGATCCAAGATGGCGGCCAAAAATGTATACCCAGTCAAAATGAAGTATTTACTGCTATCTGACGTGGTCCGGAGTTGATATCCTAAGAAATACAGAAAAAAGTAGGGGGGGAAACTCATTTAAAACTCACCCTGTATATGTGTCCGTTAGCACGATAACTCGAGCATAAATAATCCGATTTTGATTAAATTTGGTGTAATCCTAAATTTATTTGAACGAGTTCGCGAATCACCATATGATCGGACAACGGGAACGGGGGTTTATGGGGGGTTTTATGGGGTAAAAATAGGGTTTTCTCATTTTGGACCCTAACACCATTAAATGTAGCAATTTCTTTCCAAAATATGTTGTATATTGTTTTGATTCTTGATTCTAGGACTTAAACAAATAATTTAGTATTTTGAAGTGTCACTATGCGCCTAATGGTTACAGAGAAAGAAAAAAAATTGTAAATTAAAAATGCCTATGTTATTCTTATGGAGAATAAGTAAACTGTTACATTTTGCTTGTTTATGAACATATTTTGATCAAATTTATAAAATTCATTTATTTCATAGGTATTGAACTATTAACTAAAAAAAAAACACCTTTTTACCCCCCTGTTGCAGCAAACTACTCGTTAAACTTACCTAAATAAGGTATAAATGTGATATTTTTAAGGATACATTTTAATGTAAATCTAATCAGGCAAATGGAAATTCGCTTAGTCTACAGGTTAGCTGTGGCGGGGGTATTTTTTAATAGTCTTGTTAAAGCCATTAACCCTATTGAAATTTTTTGCAGCCCAAAATGCTTAGTCTTTGGAATTGGTTAAATATAAATATAATATCCATTGAACGATGATAAAGCTTTAAAGAGGAAGGCAACTAAAATCGCTCATGCGATTATTGCTGGAGCTCGACCACAATCTTTCATATCGCCCCTGCTGCTCGGCCAAGGAGTTCACCTTCACAGACGGTATGGCTCGAAGTTGCTGTTAGACATTCTATCATAGCTCGGAGTTTGCTCGAAATACAAGAAGGTCGTCAATTTTGAGACTTCAATAGCTGATGATGTCTCACCTTCAACAGATGACGGCGCTTACGTTCAGTATGTTTTCGACAACGCGGATTACAACGTTAAAACACTTGATGGAAATGAAACTTTTCACGCCATGGGTAGCATTCAGTGCATAACACAAGCAAAATGTGTCAATTCAAGTGCTCCTGTACCACGATCTACAATCCCAAAAGCAGAAAGTGTTCTTCCATCTCATGGCTTTCAGCCAGTGTGACACCTTACCAACGTCCACCTAAGCCTGGGACATATTTAATAGTGTAAGAAGATTTGTGTACTGCCCTTCCCGAACCAAAGTTGTAGATGCTTGTCTTACTGACATCCTATGGCTCGTTAACTACCAACCAAATGACAAACTAAGTCCAGGTTGGAATGGATTCATGGATGCTACTAATACAGTACAACGACCGTCATGGTCTTAATTGCACCACGATGCATGGATACTGGACTGGTCACGGATGCCAACCGCGCTAGTTGCAACGAAGTGGACATCACCAACAATATAATTTAACAGCAGGTAGTTGCATTATACGTTTCAATACAATATTAAAATATAATGGTAATAAATTTAAGCAACGATTTATATTTTTCAGAACGGTACAAACAAACAGCATTACATTTTACCAATTCCAAAAACTAAGAATAGTGGGTTGCAAGAAATATCAAAATGGTTAATGTATATAACAAGTCCATTGAGAACGAAAGAGAAAAATTTCATTTATTAAATAGCCTATTTTGTAAATTTATATCATTATCATATTTATTATTTTTTTATTATTAAAAATAAAATGTATGCTTAGAACTTATTAAACTCTTTAATCATATATTACACTCATGAGTCCAAAACGTTTAATTTGAGACATAAATAAGGCCTTTCAGACAATTACTTCAAAAGATACAGCAAAAAATCTAAATTTCCAAGATGGCGGCAGTTTTTTCAAGATGGCGGCCGTTCCCCAACTGGGATTTCTTGGGACTTTGTGTGGGCCACTCAGGACATTGTTCTGAACGTTTCCACCAATTTTCGGCCTGTTATCAATTTTGTCCGGGTCAAGGCCATGTTTTGTCTAATTGCACTGGACTAAATGTGTTGAACGCCTTGGTCTAAAAAGACGTTACAGCAAAATTACGCTTATGGCTGTAGCTAATACATCTGTCTCCCAAAACAAAGGCTCTGTAATGTGCAGTATAAGCCCAATCTCTACACCTGAAACTGAATTGACAACTGAAGCGATAGTGGTACCTAAAATTTCTTCTGATCAACCTAACATCCAATTAGATCGCTCTGTACAGTCAAAATTCTCTAATTTAAAGCTAGCTGATCCCACTTTTGACCAAAGTGCACCCATTGATTTTTTGTTAGGATCTGACTTGTACTATGATATTATTCTGGACTCACACAATATAATCAAAGGTCAACCTTCCGCTTTGGCAACCATATTTGGATGGATTATTGGTGGCAAAGTACCAAGCATTTCTTCTACAAATGAAAACTCATACTTTCTGACCTGCTGTGATGTAAAATTTTAGACCTGCTGTAGATAAATCAATCAAAAGATTTTGGGAAACAGAGTCAGTAAACACTAAGAAACCTATCAATCCTGAAGACATTGAGACTGAAAATCATTTTCAAACTACTCATTTTCGTGATGAAACAAATAGATACGTAGTTTCACTGCCTGTAAGATCAGATAACATTTCGTTACCTAACACAAGAGAAATCGCTAAGCACCGTCTAATAAATTTAGAATCAAGACTGAAGAAAACCCCAACGATGTATCAGGAGTATAGGGACTTTTTGAATGACTACATTGCTCAAGGTCACATGAGCATTGCGACTACCCCCTCTACGTACATCATCCCTCATCACTGTGTAAGGAAAGAAGATAGTAGCACTACCAAACTCAGAGTAGTTTTCAATGCCTCTTTCAAACCTAAAAATGATGATAAGTCATTAAATGATAATTTGTTCCCAGGTCCTAAGCTGCAAAAGGATATAACTGAAATTATAACAAACTTTCGTCTTCATTCCATTGTTGTGTGTTCAGATATTAAGCAGATGTATAGACAGATTGTTGTAGCTCCTGAGCAACGGAGTTTGCAGCACATATTTTACAGAACCTTACCAAACGGACCTATTGAGGAGTATGAACTCAACGTTCTCACGTATGGTGTCACATCAAGTGCATTCCTAGCCCAGCGAGTTTTGTTGCAGCTTGTCAAAGATGAAGGAAAGCGATTCCCTCTAGCCTCAAACGCCATTCTGCATCAGACCTTTGTTGATGACATATGCACCAGTGTTGACACACCAGAACAAGCTTTGCAGCTACAGAGTGAACTCATCAAACTGTTAGATTTAGGAGGATTCACTTTACGCAAATGGTCCAGTAATTACAAACCTATCCTAGACAACGTACCAGAAGATCACCGTGAACAACCACTCGTCTTATGTTCAGATGAAGATCCTGGAATGAAAATTCTTGGACTGCAGTACAACTCCTTTGATGATACTTTTTCATACTCGATTAAGCTCAACCCTCTAGTTTTCACAAAACGATCAATGCTATCTGAAATATCAAAAATATACGATGTGCTAGGTTGGATCACTCCAGTTACATTCTATGTTAAGCATCTGATGCAAAAGTTATGGCTTCTTGGTTTGAACTGGGATGAACCTCTTCCAAATGAAATAAGTAGTAAATGGTCTCTGTTCATTTCTACTCTCCCACAACTTTCAAATATTAAGATCCAACGATTCATTCCCACAGCATCCTCAAATTCCACACAACTTATAGGCTTCTGTGACGCTTCTGAAAAGGGTTACGCTGCTAACTTGTACATCCGTACTGAAAACTCAGCTGGAATCAGAGTACACCTCATAAAAGCCAAAAGTAAAGTTGCACCATTAAAAACAATGAGTATTCCCCGACTAGAACTTTCTGCGGCTCAGTTACTTATGCAAATAGTAATTTCAGTAAAACATCTCAATTTTGACCCATCAACAATCATACTGTTTTCGGACTCATCTACTGTGTTGTCATGGCTCAAAACCCCTCCATACAAATTGAAAACTTTTGTTGCCAACAGAGTAATTGACATTTTAGAAGAGACTAACCCAACACAATGGCGTCATGTAGCTTCGAAAGAAAACCCCTGTGATTGTGCCAGCAGAGGCATGCTTCCTGAAGATATAGTTGATTTTGATTTGTGGTGGAAAGGTCCTTCCTTCCTTCATGAACCCTCAACCCAATGGCCATCATCAAATGTTAAACCCACAGAAGAAATTCATCTCCCCGAATTGAAATCAGAATGTTTCCTAACAACTAGTCTCGATAACAACATAGTAATGAAACTTATGGAAAAATTCTCTAGCTTGTCAAAAGTGCAGTTCGTTCTTGCCTACTTGTTACGATTTATCTTTAATCTTCAAAGTCAAAAGAAAGGAATAAGCAAAAGGCAAGGGCCAATAACCGCTCAAGAACTAAACGACTCATTAATGTTATGTGTCAAAAATGTTCAAGAACAATATCTCTCAGGTGAAATACAAAACATAAAGGAACAGAAAATGTGCACCACTAAGTATCGATCTCTAGCTCCATTTCTCGATGAAGAAGGTTATCTCAGGGTGGGCGGACGTTTAAAATACTCCCAACTTTCATTCTCCAGAAAACATCCTATCCTAATACCAACATCATCTCGCTTAGCAACTCTGTTATGTGATCACTATCATAAACTATCTTTACATGGTGGTCCTCGTTTGTCCCAATCTCTCATACAATCAAAATTTTGGATCAGTGGATTACGCCAATTATTACGAGAAAGAATATTCAAATGTAACAAATGTTACATGTTCAAGGCAAAGCCCATGACACCCAAAATGGCTGATCTACCTTCTGCAAGATTTCAAAACCTCAGGGTATTCCTCAATGTAGGACTTGACTATGCAGGCCCATTTGAATTCAAAGAAAGTGATAGGAGAAAAGCTCCACGATCAAAGGGTTATTTGGTAATCTTCATTTGTATGTCCACAAAAGCCGTCCATCTTGAATTTGCTACAAGTCTATCAACAAAATCATTTCTTGCTGCTCTTGATAGATTCTGTGCTAGACGAGGTCTTTGTAAGCAGATTTTCAGTGACTGTGGTACCAACTTTCAAGGTGCCTCAAATCATTTCAAAGAGATTCAGGAGTTTTTAAAACGATCCAATCCAGAGATATCACAGCATCTAGCCAAAAAGGAAATCAAATGGAACTTCAATCCACCTGCAGCCCCTCACTTTGGTGGACTATGGGAGGCCGCTGTTAAATCCACCAAACATCACTTGCAACGAGTAATGGGCACACTTGCTCTCACCTATGAAGAAATGAACACTTTGTTGACACGCATAGAGGCTATTCTCAATAGTAGACCAATCGGAACGATGATCACAGACCCTAACGATGGCGACTATTTGAGCCCAGGTCACTTTATTATTGGATCGCCACTCTTAGCTCCACCTGAAATTGACTGCAGTGACACACCCATGAACAGACTACAAAGATATGAACTTCTACAACAGGCTGTTCAGTGTTTTTGGAAGAGATGGTCACAGGAATACGTTCAAACCCTGATTCCTCGTAGAAAATGGACTTCCCTTCAACCCAATGTCAAAGTTGGTGATGTAGCATACCTCCAAATGAAGAACACCAGCCCACTTGAATGGCCAATCGGGCGAATAGAAGAAACTTTCCCTGGACGTGACGGAATAGTAAGAGCAGTCAAGATCAAAACCGCTCAAGGGACGTTTGTGCGCCCAGTTCACAAGCTGGTTCCTTTCCCTCCCTCTGACTTTGACTCATAAACTACCCTTTCCTTTTTTGTTTTGTTTGATTTTTTGTTTTTACGTTTGCAAATATTCATTTGGGTGGGCGGTATGTAGAGTTTTGAATATAATATCAGAATAAACTACTGATAAAAGTAATGAATGGACTGGCTGGACATTGGTATTTCCAATGCATTCCATTATTGTTGGTTTTATCTATATTCGTTTTCCTTATCTGCCAGACAGTATTGTTCTTGTTTTATGCTTTCACTTTTTGCTCTGTCTCAGTCTACACACTACTGCCTTCTAGTTAACATGTCCTCAAATATATTGTAGTTATAGATTCAAAATGTAGTCTAAATTCTCTCTTTTAATTATAACCAATGTTAGAACATAATAGTACAGTTCAGTGTATCAGTGACAGTGATGTGAAGTGAATGAAGTAAATCTTCAGTATTAATATTTGGATGAAACCTCTACAAGTGAATGGACTGGTAATTCTCTCCTGTCGTCAACCTGCACGCCACTTTTAAGCTCAAGTCATCCCTCTCCTCTACGGGCATCACTGGACCACTAGCAGAGTCTCTCTACGTCAAACCTCTACTCTCCTAGCTATTCCTTTGAGGCCAACCCTCTGCAACCTTCCCAGACGACATCGCCAGCTCCAACCCTCTTACAACCGCTTCGCTACCCACGTCACGACCTCACTTGAAACTCACCACAACCTGGACTTCTCAAGAAAGACTCCGCAAGTAGAAAATAATTTTTAACTTAATTTATTTAGCAATTATTCAAAATACTCTTACAATATTTCTATCAGATTTTTAGGATTTAAAAGTTTTAACCTTCCGGAAGATTTCATTTAATATTCTAATCTAATATAACAGTTCTTGTCATAATTCAATATATCCAATTTTAAAACCTGATATTAAAAAGTGTGTGAACTGAGAAGCAGAGTTTTTATTTCATGCTCTCCGATTGCCTTTGGGTAAAATTAAATTAATACATTTTGAGAATAGAATTTTTAAGATTTAAAATTCTCTACGACTCAACAGACCTGTTATCCCAAATTATTCATAAAGGAAATAACATAGTATTTTTTCATAATGTAGAAATACTTTGTGTATGAATTTTGTTTAATTAAGGTCTTACAAAGTCTTACCATGAGACCTACGGTAACAGCTACTGGAAAATTCACTAAAAATTACTGAAATTCTTAAATTCTCCCCACACCAAATGGCTAATAATACATAAAAAATAGTAATGAACAACCAAATATATACATTTTTAAACAATCTAAAACTATTCCCAGACAAACTTAACAAGATTGACTTTTGAATATGTTCAACTTGAAAACCAACTACTGGGTGTGTCTATATAAATGCCAAGATATTTATCACCGAGACAAATGTCAATGCCAGCTGATACAAGCTAATAAGTAAATTGGTTTATGAGATTGAAAATGGACAAGCTGGATCAAATGTCCAGCATAAAACAATTAGCTGGATTTCCACACGGCAATCTAATTAATTAAACTATTAGGTTAGATTAGTTATGGGGTATTGCCTCATTGGAGGTGATACAGACAAAGGTCACCCAGACTTGGCTACGATACAATTCTCCACCTTCAGTGACACAAACAAATCAAGGTAACAGCTACGAGAGAAATACCTCGACTGACACGCTTCAGTTAAATTTATTTGGTTTGTAATAATTGTTTTGGAAAACATTTTCTTACGATACTTTTTGGCGATCAAACATTAGTAAAGAAGTAAGTATGTGCCTTAATATATCTATGGTGTTCACGGAAGTACAAAAGGCAGGTGGTCTGCCTTAACCTGTATCCAGGGATAAGCCTGTGTGCCTTTAGTTTTTCCAAAATGTCCAGGAAAAGGTAGATTTTGAATTCTTTGGCTGAATTCAAGGGATACTGAAGAAAATAGGTTGCCTGTATGCCTTACAATACATTCAGAGTGTGCAGGAAAAGCTAAAGGTGGTCAATGTGCCCTACAAATAGTACTATTTTCAGGCCATACTGGAGACTGTAATTGGTCTGCATACCCTGCCCTGATGCACTCTGGAGGAAAAGTTGTCTGTGTGTCATATCCAGGGCCTTCAGGAGAGGTTGGAGGTATATTTGCCTCATCCAAGGCATACATGTGAAGTTGGTGGCCAGTGTTCTTACAGGTCATACAGAAATAATTGGTGGTTTGTGTGCCATATCCGGAGCATACCGGAGGAGTTGCGGTGATCTGTGTGCCCTACTATCGGGCGTCCAGGAAACATAGAGACAATGGGTGAAGTGACAGCCAGGTTGTATGTTGTGTTTGTCACCTTGAGTGGAGGTCAAGTGGTCACTGGTCACTGCCGCCCTCACACCACACTGCAAATGCTCAATAGATAACTTTATCTCTTATATCTTATAGATAAATGATCGGTTATTGTATTTTAAGGCTTAATGTATTTTTACCTTTTTGGTCTAAGAAGAATTCAGTGATGTCGAATCTCAAAGGAAAAAAGGACTATCCGTTAGTCTTCTTGATTTGAGAATTAAATTCCATGCCTAGTCAAACCTATTAATAACCTCCTATGTCCCTTGCCATTCTTTATAACTAGGTTGGAGACGGTCGTGTTAATAGGTATCAGTACAGCTAATGAATGGAATTCAAATAGGGACATTTAAGTCTTGAAAACGGACACACCGAAATGATATCCTCCGCAGAATCCACATAGCTTTGGCTACTTGCCAAACCACGACCCTTCCTAGGATTCTCATTTCTCAGTCAGGTATAAAACTATGTCAACTTAAATTAAACCCTCCTAAGAGTCCAATATTAAAACAATAATGTTATATATACATATAGAATGTGTGGATTATGTATTGCTGCAGGGGCGTAACCAGCCCATTGCAAGGTGAGACAACTCCATTGGATACATTTTATCAACTCCTAGTGATGATTCTGTGACTCACTGGGGCTGAACTAGAAATACCATCAGGAGGGGCTAAAGGATCATGGCCAAGTAATTGTTATTAACATACATGTTTAAATAATAAATAAGTTAATTCGTTTTGTGCACAATGATTTATTTTGTTTCAGATAGCATTCCAAATCTATCAATAATGTTATTATATCGACAAAATAGAGGTTTTCATACTAGTGTATTAGGCATGTAAAAACCATCGAAAACGACACCAGACAAGTCATACGTCAAAAATCATAAATTATTTCAAATTCCCCCTACCCCTCCTAAAAAAAACAACAAAAACATGTACGAATATGCTAAATCTCTTACGGAGGTGGTTCTATCGACCTAAATATGGTTCCTATCGATTCACCGTGTATACAAACCTTGAAGATGACTTCCCAAACTACCTCAAATCGCGAATCATGGATTTTATCAAAATTCCTTCTCCCCACCCCCTAAAAACCAAGTTCCTCCATCGGGACTATTAGGGACGGGTAGATGTCTACTTGTACCGGCGTCTAGTTGTACCTGCTGCATTTTGGTGACAGGCGTCTAGTTGTACCTCGTCCAAAGCTGTAGGTACAACTAGACGATGGTGCGGACGTCTAGTTGTACCTACGTCTAGTTGTCTCTGCGTCTAGTTGTACCTCTTAAAAATCTGCAGGTACAACTAGTCGGGTACGCCACCGTCTACTTGTACCTCATACGTCTGCGTCTATTTGTACCTACGACTAGTTGTACCTACGACTACTTGTACCTACGACTACTTGTACCTACGACTACTTGTACCTACGACTAGCTGTACCTACGCCTACTTGTACCTACGTCTAGTTATACATACGGCTAGTTGTATCTCCCCTTCAACTTGTCACCAGTTTAAGGGATTTATTTCATTTCTTTAAAAATCATACAATCTTACAAAAATCTTTTATAAACATCTTGCTACAAAAGCCAGGAAAATTTGGCTTGTTTGCGCTCATTGAGAAACCCCTGTTCTTGATAACAATGTACTGTGTCCCTTGGTCAGTCCTTGTCCATATTATGGATCCATATTACATTTTGGTTTTCCTTATTTCTTGTCAAGATCTGCTATCATTGTTTTTTTCACTTAAACTCTGCCTTTCTATAGAAAACTAACATTAACTAGCTTTAACAACAACTTAAAACAATTATCTTAAATAAATAAATTCAGAGTTTACAAAAACAAGTAATTGAGTATAATGAAGTGTTTTTGTATAGTATTAGTAACGTAGAATATTACATCAAGTTCAAATTAAAAATGTATATGTTATTCTTATGGATATTACGTAAACTGGCGTAGTTTGGTTGTTGATGCATATACTTTGACAAACTAGTTTATTTCACACTTAACTACTAACTTTTCTCAAAAACACATCTTAATTACCTTTTACGCAAACGTAGAAAGCTCACTATTGAAATACCATTGAAAAAATAACCCAGGTATGACTTGTTTTGCGCGCGCTTATTAGTTTTTAGTATAACTAATCTTGGTTTAGTTGCAGACTACATAGCCAGTGTACACATACCTAGCTCAGTATCAAATTTAGTTTATATAGTTTAACTAGCTTCTCTAGTTTGTTTGAAATGGAAAAATTCCAATCACATGTATTATTTACAGTGTATGTTAAATGGAGAAGTCTGTACATTGTATATTTTTGGTCGAGTTTTCAACCACTGGACCTCAACTTCATTGTTCATTGTTCACTGGGAAATCCATTGTAAACTATAAGAAATGCACACTAATCAATGCAAATACTGTACTTTAAGGTTATGTGAAAAAATATTTAAAGGAATCAGCAAAAATAGTAATACATAATTGCTAGGCAGCGGTCTATTGCAATTCATTAAGGATATACTGCTTGTATATTTAATAATATACAGTATGTTTTAATTAAATAAGCGATTTTCGGGACTAGGGCTGGAAAAATTTAATTACAACTATAGCTGACATTTCGACCCTGGACAGCACTGCGTAGCTTTCAGCCTCCAATTAACGTCTGTAAAACTACTAAAACATCGTAGTGGGTGAACAATATTTGCCAATCATACTC